TGTTATCTTAGCCGCTCTCTCACACCGAACGAACGTAAGTTTAGCACGACCGAGAAAGAGTGTCTTGCAGTCATTTTCGCAGTCGAGAAGCTGAGGCCTTACTTGGAGGGAACGCGATTCACCGTAATCACCGACCATTATAGCCTGAAATGGCTCAATTCGATCAAAGATCCAGTTGGTAGGATTGCGCGTTGGTCAGTGAGACTTCAGCAGTACGACTTCGACATTCAGCATCGTCCTGGTCGTAACCATTGTGTACCAGACACTCTTTCCCGTTCTGTGCCAGCCTTGACAATTGACTCGTTATGTACCGATGTTGCCAGCAAAGACCCTTGGTATCAACAGCTGATCCAAGCTGTCACCAGAGACCCGGTTCGCTATCCTGCATGGCGTGTACAGGGGAAATTATTGTTTAAGCGAGTGGATAGAAAGTATCCTGAATTGACTGATGAGGTAGATCCCTGGGTACAAGTTGTACCGAAAGAACGTCGCCGCGACCTCATTCGCCAACACCATGACCCACCAACGATGGGACATTGTGGTGTTTTCAAAACCCTTTCTCGACTCAGCAGTGTATACTACTGGCCGAAGATGAAGCAGGATGTAGCCCGCTTCATCAAACACTGTACGGTGTGTATTAGTACGAAGCCGGAGCAGAAGCCGCCAGCCGGCCATTTACTTAGTTCTGCACCTCAGGCGACCAGGCCATTTGAAATTCTTAGCATTGATTTGGTAGGTCCGTTACCTCGATCCGCGTCTGGACATGCCTATATTTTCTCGGTTTCTGATATCTTCAGTAAATTCGTGTTATTCTTCCCTTTACGTCAGCCTACGGCAAAAATGGTGACACAGATCCTGGAGGAGCGAGTACTTCTGGTTTATGGCACTCCCCGGAAAATTATCGTGGACAACGGCGTACAATTCCGAAGTCACTTATTTCGAAACCTCATGGAAGAATATAATATCAAAACCGGATACATTGCAAACTACCATGCTCAAGCAAACCCCGTTGAACGCACCCATCGTGTTTTGAAAACGATGTTGACGGCATATGTATCAGACAACCATCGCGCCTGGGATCAGTTTTTAGCAAAGATAGCATGTGCCATGAGGTCGGCGAAACACGAAACTACCCAATTGACGCCTAATTTTGTTGTATTTGGTCGCGAGATTAGGCTATCGGGACAGGCTCAACACCCGCTTACCGATACTCTCGGATCCGGAGAATTCAATGCAGAGGTTCGATCGGAGGCATTGCGAAAAGTCTTCGAGGATGTATCAAAGAGACTGGTACAGGCCCATGAGCGCAGTAAGCAGCGCTATAATTTGAGGAGGAGGGATGAAAAGTTTCAACTAAACCAAAAGGTTTGGCGTAAGAATTATAGCTTGTCGGATGCAACTCGCGGTATAACCTCCAAGTTAGCTTTGAAATTCAAGGGACCCTTTATAGTTTCTAAAATCCTGTCTCCGTGGTCATATGAGTTATCGGATGAGTCTGGAAAAGCATGCGGAGTATGGCATGCGAAGGATATTAAAGCACATCCCCCAGACGAAGACGAGCGTCAGGACGATTACGATGCGGAGAATTAACGATCCAGTCAATGTTTGTCGATAGAAGTTAGAAGGTAGTAGTTATTTCTTGTAGCAAAAGTTTTTTTTTTGGGAAACAAAAACTTTTTATGGGGTAAGAGGGGTGTTGTTACGGTTTCACTTTGATTTAATCTAAGTATGTGCACAGACTAGAAGCAGAGTTATCTAAAATCCTTTATTCAATCGTTATACAGATCATTTATAGGTATCATGCTTGATATTCCATCTTCATTCGAGTACTGCTTAGATCCAGCAGACCTGGAAAATAATGAGAAACCATTAATAAAAGGAATCATTTCCCCATTGTTACTTACCCATGCCATCAACTTCGATATCCTCGGTCCGATCTCTACTGATGTGGGCTTCCTCTGGTCCAAATCTGTAAAATACATATATATTGGTGAATTATCAACAACATTTGCAATATAATGATCTTACCTTGTAGAAAAATCAAGTAGTAGAAAAATAATAACATTGATCCATCATTAACCTAACTATATTAGTTGAAGGTTATTACTAGTCTGGACTCTGGGTTTTGTCATCTTCTTCTTCTGCTCCATCTGGAATACCTAGTTAGTCCTCAACCTGAAAATAAGATAACTGCTAACTCAACCTAATAACCTAAAACGGTATAACCTGACAAGTGGGTCATTTTGGCGGGATTCTGGGAAAGTCCCGCCAAGATAGTGATATTTGACAGGGCTTTTTCTGATAACCTATGAAGGTATTGAAACGTGCCATCGCATTATTGCGGATTTAAATTGTATAATCAAAACTTACTAGGGAATATAAGTAGTCAAAGGACGGTCCACTGACTACTACCTGCCAAGGGATAAAATTCCTAGTCAGAATTTGATTATCAGATATCATTTTCACAACTCGCTGTAGTTGATACATCTGGCCACCTGCGAACAAGGTATGGGTTGAATCAAGCATTTCTGCAGCTTATTTGATAAATTTCTACATAGTAGCATTATTACTTGCAGGGCCAACAAAAACGATTTCTAGTAGTCAATAAGTGTACTTACTGCTATAACCACAGAGGCTTATATTATTGTCTGCTTTGCTTTTGCTTTCTGCATGGTACCCTGGGTACACCAGCCTGCATATACCTCCTGCCTAGCATGTCAATTGTAGTTTTAATACAGAGGGTAGCCAACAACGATTCGACCTGTGGATCAGAAGCTGACTTGAGCAGGCCAGACTGCTTATATCTAACACTTACCTGTCTTACTTGCTGTGGGACACTCCTGCTCCAAGCTGCCACCGTCACCTCTAAAAATCCTTCAAAGTGAGCTGTATCTAGTCCTTCTTTTAGTTGCACTAATTCAGGATATAATGCATTGACCTCACCCAGTATTAGCCTATTTTAAGTATAGTATATCTAGTGATCAACCTGTACACTTTTGGTATCGATACCAGAGGGAAAGCTGGGTAAGTTTCCACTGCAACTTGCAATCTGGATTGTGTTATTATGGTTTCATCTGTAATAGTCATCACTTGCTGCTCATAAATCACTACTTAAAGTTCTCAGAATTAACCACCACTTACCACCATATGAAGTGAACCAACCTCAACCAACAATAAAGGAATATTGTACTTTTACACCCACCCCCTGAGTTTTATTATTCACATAAGTAAATACCCATTGTTTTTAGTGCCCCCTTTTCAGGGACTAAGCAAACAACGTTATACCTTCGATATCACATTCTGTAGTACGCCCTGTCGATACTGCTACGCACAATATTTAAAGATTCTCGCTCTCCCTTTCTCCTGTTCTCTATCCCTGGGATACCGTTACTCCCATTTCTCATTCGTCTTGTTGTGCTCGTTGCGCGCACATGTCACTCAAACGTCGCTGGAAAAGTAAGTATAAATTAATTCTCTTTTCCACAGTAGCTCTCTCTTTTAGCATCGGAGATAGAGAAGAGAAGACATTCATCATCTAATGATGAATCCGAAGAGGATGTATCAAACAAGGACTTGTTCAAACGAACATATAAACTGGGAAAGAAATTGCGATAACGAAATCGTCGAGATAGGAGCCGTTCGCGTGCCTCGAGCAGGCATGGTCGGTCACCCTCTCGTTCTCTAGTTCCCATGGTCCTCGACTTCTCGAATTCGGGTTCGTTCTTGGACTAGTTCGAGTTCGAGCCAAAATCGAAGCCGTTCGCGTGTCTCGAGCAGGCATGGTCGGTCAACCTCCCGTTTTTGAAGCTGTTCACATGAGAGTGATAAGGCATTCAGTGATGTTCCCTCAGGCACTCAGACACTAGACTCAGATGATTGCCGAGATCTGCGCGATCCGGAATCATCACAGGCGACAGGGACAGAATCAAGTTGCACCGGCCGACCCCCGCGCGGGGCGGAGGGCTAAAATGACAGCTGTTGGTGGTAGCCGAACTTTGAACAAGTCGGGACTACATCTGAGGGGGGAAGGAGAACCAGATAGTGAAGCTAAAGTATAGCTAAAGGGCCAATATTTTTGATAGATATGACGGTCATCTGCCAAAATTGCAGGATGACGTTCTCACTATACAGGGTCGCTTTTTCGAACACTGATTCGGAACAGAGATTCACCCTTCATGATGCGATAAGCTCAAGATGGAGTAATATTTTGCACGGGCTGCAAGGTAATGAATGGAATAATAAGGTTGAATCCAGAATTAAAATGCCTTCATATATATCAGCCTTGTATCCCCCACCAATGAATGTAGGGGATTATAGCAATGCTATATCTAAACCAAATCACACGAAAAATAACTTTCATGCTGATCATCAAAATCAGTTGGGTTCAAGTCTAGCTGAAATAGGTAGGGGTCTAAATGTGATCCTGAAAAATAATGACAACATGCCTAAAACATAAGAGAAACCTTATTATCTCAATTATGCGATGCAGGCCGTATTCTCACTAGTGTTGCCGTCTAGACAAGACAAGACAAGAGTTTTCCTACTCTTGTCTTGTCTTGAAATTTCAAGACAAGAGTTGTATACGCGTAAGTCTTGATTAAATAAGCTGAGTGCGGTCTTGTCTAGATAACGAAAGTCTAGATTATTATTCAAGACTCTAGATAAGACGCTTAGCTTAAATTGCGTGGAAACAGTCAAGTGCATGCAAACTCCCGCTCTCTGGGAACCAATCAAAACAAATCATAGCCGCGCCAGCGAAACGACGGGCACGTGCGGACACAAGGAAGCAGGTGTTATTATATTGTTCGAGTTCATAAAATAAACAGTCCGAAATTATCAGAGGCATGCGCAGTTTCACAGAACTGTACGCATTCTTTGAGTTCTGTGGGACTACGCAAACAAACCTTTCGGGTATTCACAGAGGGGTAGGTACAGTTGCCTTTGGCTATCATAGATTTCGTTTTTGCGCTAGCAGCTAGAAGTGAATTGCATTTTAAATAATGAAGCCAAAACATCCTAAATTGTCCCGTACTTGTAATGCGGAAAAAACAACACCGCAAATACAAATAATACCTGATGACAATAATTCCAATGAAGAATTAGCAGATCCTTTTGTATGTGGTAGTGATTCTATGGATGAAGATAAGAGTTTTGAGCCTGGTCCTGGCGATAGTGTGTCAGATAGTGATAGTGATGACAGCGTTTCTTCGCCAAACACCAGCAGTGCCATCACACAATCTGTTTCAAATAAAACTCAATATAAGAAAAGAAAACTTAATAACGTTATTGTCAAAAATAAGAGGGATAGAGCACTGGGAGTTAGCGGAAAGCTATTGACGACTTTTTTTACAATGGTATCCACGTCTACAAACAATAACGACAAAGTCGGAACTTGCCAAATATGCAAAAAACAAATTCAAATGAAGAATGCTAATAACACAGGATTAAAGAGACATTTATTTGCACGTCATCAAAAGCAATATCATGAAATATTTCCCGAAGTTGAGGCTGCAGCACTAGCAGGAGCGAAAAAGTCTGGATCTCGACAAGGAAACATAAAAGAAATGTTTAATTTTGATTTACAAAATCAGGTGAGGAAAAAGGCTGTTTGTTGGTTGATAAACTATGTTGAATTTTATGGTAGGCTGTGATGTGATTTCTATTGTTTTATTTGCAAATTTGAAACATTTTTCATAATATCAATGTTTGAAAAGAAAATGAACATCTCAAATGACAAGCTTTCAAGCCTACTTGAATAATTATTTATTTCACCTTTTTAGTATTATATATCTACCATTCTGCAAATGTATATATTTTGAATAGTTTTTTAACAGCCAAACAAAGAAGTATTAAATTTTAGTTATAACTATTGAATTAGGTATTTAGTTTTTGTATACGTAACCTAAAATAACTTATTGTATAGGGCGTTCTAACTAGAATTACCACCCCTGTTTTCTCGTTGCCCCTGAAATTTTGAATTTTAAAAGTGCCGTCTTATGTGCTTTTTTCCGTAGTTTTCAAATTTACGGTTTGAAATTTTTTAACCTCAAAGATATACAGGCTGTCCAAGAAATTGTTACTTTTTCTCATGGAACACCCTATATGTTCTTGTACATATTGAAAGAGCATTTTGTGATTATTATAAATATGCAGTGTGTCCCACTTTGAGCAGCCACACCCTCGTATTTTATTCTTGAGAACATAATGATTCCAAAAAATGTTTTTCACGAGTAACTTACTCTACTCATAAATATCTAGCTGTAGGTTGATGAAATAATCCTATATCCATTTTCCACGGCTACCTTCGACTAATAGAATTCGGAATACCCTAAATACCCCAAATCTCAGTATTTCATTCATTAAAATATACAGGGTGGCATCTGTAACTAATAATATTTTAATTTTTATTCATTCGTTATGTTTGGTTGATTTAGAATATTTCTTCCCTATTGATAAAGTACCTGAAAATGTTCGAATGATGCCGTAGAAAATATTCAAATATTACATTTTCATGGCTAGCTACGACAAATTGAAAAGTGAAGAATTGGGAAAAACATACTAGGGATTCTTTTATTGCAAATATAACACCAGATTTTGTTTTAGAACACCCTAAAACCCCAAGATCTCATTTAAATATACAGGGTGTTTTGCAGACCAGTAACATTTTTAATTTGGTATTCATTCGTAATATTTGGTCGATTTTGACAAAATTTTCGAAATCGACGGAATATTATTACGGATGAATACCAAATTAAAAATGTTGCTAGTCTGTAAAACACCCTGTATATTTTAATGCGATCTGGTGTTCTAGGGTGTTCTGAAACAGAAACTGGTGTTATTTTCGTGATAAAGAAGTCCGAAGACGTGCGAAATGGATATAAACTCATTTTATAAACCTGTTAACAGATATTTATGGGTACTATAATATATGTTTCGCAAAAATTTGTTCGAAATAATTTCATCCTTAAGAAAATACGAGGGTGCTGCTCAATGTGGGACACACTATAAATATATATATATATACGATTCGAAGTTGGAAAATCTTAAATAGGAAATTTGAAAACTACGGAAAAAAGAACATGAGACAGCATTTTTACATTTTAAAATATTTTCATCGGCAACAAGAAAACAGGGGTGGTAATTCTGATTGGAACACCCTGTACTTACCTATTTTTTTGTTTTCAGAGTAAAAAGCCACCCGCTATTACCCAGAAGAAGTTTGAAGAAAAGCTAGTTGAATGGATAGCTGTTAAATATCTTCCATTCAGTTTTTTTGACGATGATCAGACGCAAGAAATTTTTCATGACTTCCGCCAGTTAGAAGATTCCTCAGCTCTGTTGCCTAAACGTAGCGCTATGAGGTCAAAAGTGGTACGACATTTCTCTAATATGAAAAATGCTGTTATGCAAATCTTGAAAGAAAACCAATCGAAATATTCCTTTACCGTTGATGGTTAGTAGGAGGGTTATGTGAGTGCACCTCAGAGGTGCAGCAACCTTGAACGTGGGCGGCCTTGAACGTGTGTGGTCTTGGGCATGTGACTGCACCGCACCGTCGCCGCAGTGACGTCAGTGACCTTGGACGTGGGTGGTCTTGAGCGTGAGACGATGTGGGGCTTCGAAGGGGCTCTAGAGAGAGCTGATATGCCGTTTGTATCGAGCAGGACCGTGGGTGGTTTTGGGGGGGGGGGGGTGCGACGAGGCGGGCATCGCATGGTATTCACCGTAGTAGGTACCGCTTTCGATGTTCAAACACCAGTTGCAGTTCAAGGACGTTTTTGTTAAAGTTTCTTTCGGTTCGATGAATGCTGGAATGTATCTTATACTTACGAATATTTATGGCACCCACCGCACCGCCTTTTTGGCCCTCGAGTACGTACCTACATAGGACGATGCGTACAATTTTGACTTTCTAATCATTACGCTTGGATATCTACTATGCACAACATTTTGTCTACCTTCACACTCTTGACCCGCTATCAATTTCTTACCGTTTCCGCTGTGAGAAAGCTACTTTGAATATATTTTTCATCATTCTTTCGAATAGCAAATCAAGTCTATGGTTGAAATTAAATTAACCGTTTACAATAGCTGGCTCAACAAGCAGATGTATGAATATAAAAATCAATCATTTCTTGCCTTGGAGCATGTGGCATTGGTTGCGGCCTTGAAAGTCTCTGTGTGTGTGTGTGTGTGTGTGTGTGTGTGTGTGAACATACTTGTTCAAGGTCGCTGTTATAGGAGCTCTTTTTTCTTTGATGTTCCCCCACCACATTTCTATACTATATAACCAGGTGAATCCTAGATTTGAAAACACAAAATAGAAGCGACTCGTTTGGTGAAGATACAAGTATTGAAATAATTTTGAACAAGTTTCTCGTGAGAAAGTGAAGTGTGCTGTGTAAGTTGAATTATTTTTATATATTTATCATACCTCCCTTTCGCTGTGCAATTCACGATTATTTGAAGAAATATGTCTGTAGTACGTGCGATTGATTTAGACAATAAAATGATCAACCGTGATGCTGATGTTATCCAACGAATATCAATTTCAACTCTGATCGTAGGCCATCCCTACGTAATTGAAAGAATATGTTGTTGCGTAACTAGATTCGGAAAAGGGATTTATGCATTATTATGCGATGAACGTGACGGCTCTACTTTCAAATGTTGGCTACCAAAACGTGTCGCAGATAATTTGAGCGAAGGTGATATTGAAGTTATGAATTCAGCCAATGGGGGATATAGTCTGACATACACAGGTCAGAATAAACCAGCATATGCAGGGGCAAAATCGTGGTCTCTAATTAGATTCGATAAACGATAATAATCTCCTCAATATCTTAGATATATTAAATAAGTACAGTTATACGAAAGGGTGGGTGAAAAATATTTAGAAATAGTTACTTACATATCACATACTAGTAATCTCTGACTATATAATAATACTATTGTAAGTATAAAGTCAACCTACCAGATAAGATGCGTATGTTAATGTCGTATATTTGTTTCAGATACCAGACTTTCAAGTCTCCGAATACAATGTGGATGCACTATTCAAGCCAGGGATGGGATAAAGCAGAAGATATCGATTCTGGAATAAGAAGGCTTTCGTGTGAATTCCGCGATCTAGAAATGGATGCTTTACATGCAACTAATTATGATATGAACGTGTGTTTTGATCCCGTGGCGATTCGAAGGCTCTACGATCTAGCTGATCAATATAAAATTGGCTTAGAATTGTGTCATCGATTTGGATATGGAAGTTTGAGCTTAGATGCGTTTTGTCAACATATGGTGGAAGCTGAATTGAAAGGATTTTTGTATGAAATATTCGATTTCCTTCCTGGCAGCATCATTAGCAAATTTAACCTACATCGAGAACCTGAGGAACAAGATGACGATATCGAAACTCAACAAAATACAATTTCTCTCTCTTAATGTAATATGCTCTGTTTGTTTTTTTATTTTGTAATTATATACCGTCAATACCGTAACACTATTGGGTAATTGATTTTCTTAATAAATGTTTGATATACTCATATGTAATTTTATTATTCCGAGTACGTATTCAAATACTAATAACTCGAAAACCTTCAGAGCTAGGTAAAGGAAAGCCTATTTATCAGTTGAAACAGAATTCAATCGAGCGTTCAGTTACTTAATGATGTGCAGGGTGCTTGATTTGGAAAAAAAATTTTTTGATGAAATTCTGACCCACTTCAAAGAACATCATTTCGGTTCTCAATGTAATTGATAAAATCAGCTACCATTCTCTTCATTTCATTCATTTTAACACGAATTCGAGCGTTATAGAGGTTGTAATCATTGTATGAATTCATGTGTATACACTTAAAATATATCATTTACTCACCTTATGATGCATCGAAAGAAGTAATAGTCGACGGAAACATTGCACAATATAATTAGTCTGTATCAGTGTATGTATCACTGTCTGTATCACTGTCTACATTTATCACTTCTACCCGCGTTGGTCTAACGACACCAACTACGCGCAATTCACCATTCTTTGTGAATTTCACAGATATTATAGAAAAAAAATGAATTCTTTCACAGCTAAAACACCTTCTAGGTACTGCTGAAGGTGTCTGAAAGTTCCTATCAGACCAACTCTGTATCGCATCGCACGTCGAGCACTTTCCAGTTATTTCAAAACTTGTATCCTGATCGCATACAAACATCGTGTTCAACTGACTAGGAACTTCAAAATGGGTATAGGTCATTAGTCGATTTCGATAGGAAACATCATCATTTGTACCTCCTCCCTTTTCGAAATATTAGTACCTTCAAATAAACAAAATACGTTGATAATGTAACTGGCCTGCATTATTGGATATCTAAGGGATACTTTTATGAGGGGTTAAACTCTGAATATCTGTTTATTTGAGATGTCGGCTTGAAGCAATAAATTTTTTACAACAGCCTTTCACAACCTTCTTCGACACACAATAAAAGGCAATATTTAGCGAATTATATATCTTTTAATGCAATCATCAACCTATACAGTAATAATATTATGTATTTGTATAAAAACAAAAAAAAGATGATATACATATGCATAAATAACTTTTTATTCATACAGAGCAAGTAAATGCATACAATATATATTGATATATTTCAAGGAGCTCTTGTTTGAATCGATCCATCCAAAGCGCTATAGGTCAGATATGCATCATGAAGAATTAACGCATAGACTCTGGTATTGTCAGGAAATTGTGTTCTACGAGTCTCAAACTCCAGCTTGATATCAACGTTTGATGACTTCAGAGCATCTGGTTGGTGGCGGCAATCAATGAGAAATAGAGGATTCTTTCTGAATTCTTCAATGTTCATCATCGGTTCACCCATATCTTTATCGTAGTAGCTTCTCTGGAAATTTTCATAGGCATAATAGGCTGCTGAGTCTAGTTTTTTGTCAAAATCCAGATTCCAGCGTTCATATGGATAGACTTCGGAATTCAAATATAGGCGGATATTATTGATGTTGGCATGTGTGAATTTTGTTACATCCTTCGATATATCATCGGAATTCTCAATATTTTGAAAACCGATAATTATGTATCGAGGTCGTTCAAGGCTAGTTGTGGTTTTCAGAGCCCATATATCTGTAGCTGTTCTACGAAGAGACGGTAATTCGTATAATTCCCACATGCGGTATGCTATTTTCACTTTAGCATTGTCACTACTACTTCTATTGATGCGATTCAATAACTTCAACTTTTGTCTATCCTCCGGAATTACGTGCTTGATCTTCCATTCAACTTTCGTGATTTCCAAAGCAGCATCAACCTCACCGATGTACGAGTTTTTGAATGAGCGTGCAATAATGAGTATCAGCTCTTGTTTCACATTCAAAATGCCCTTGTTATAGTCTTCAGCGAATCCCATGAGATATTTGAGGGGCAACTTCCCACTGAATACGTGGCTGGTTGAATCCAAAATGAATTGCTTATTTTGATTTAGCCCCCATCCTATGGTTTCCAAGGAAGTCTTACTAGTCTGCCCATACGATATAAGAGTTTTCATCGTACTAGTTATACCAGGTTTTCGAACGACAGCAACCTGTTCACCGCCCATTTCGTATCGGATTTCATCGAATAGGAATGCTAGAGCATTATTCGATAGGTAGCAAATCTTTGTCAAATCACTGGGTGTGAATTTCCCTTCAATGTAGATGTAGCTGTCGGAAATATCCAATATAAGATCTTGAAAGTTGATTGGAATCCGTATCTCATCGGAATTCTTGAAATATGGTGAGCCATACGGTTTATAGGTATGCTCATGGAGGCTGATCAGTGAGTTGTCGAGAAGGGGTTCCTCGAAAACATCCAATTTCTCGCTGGTAGTAGTAGCAATCATTGCAGCAGTATCGCGGTAATGACAAAATATTAATTTCAACACACAATCAACCCTATGGATCTGAGGAACTTTTGTTCGCTTACGGATATCTTACGTCTTGACGGGGCGGTAACTCCTTGACGAATGACTTGATATCCGTATCCGTGTTTCCTTTTATTGATGGTGTATCGACCTTTTTCGATGTTCTCACAACTATCCGGCTTGGATCGACGACTGTAGCAAAATCCCATTTTCTATCTCTTAACCGCTCTCTTTTTCTCTCTCTAAGGAAGGTGTGTGCGTATGTGTCTCTTTCAGGCGAGCTTTTTCAATTCCAACTTCACTATAATTATTTCTCCTCGGAAATCCACTAAGCGACCCTTGTCGTCCAATATGCTTATGGTAATGTTGTCAATATACTGACGACCTTCAGGACTGATCGGCATATAAATAATATTTCGAGGTTCCTTAGAAAGCTTGTACCCAGGCTCTACATCAACATCAAACTCGTA